CATAGCAGCCTAACAGCCCTGAATGAACAACAGAGCTCACAGCTCAGCAATTAAGCCCATATAAAGTACAAACTGTCTCCTCAAGCAGCTACCTGACCCCTCTGTATCCAAAAGACTGACATTTGGCAGGCATCATCCTGGGACAAAGAGAGCAGAAAAAGAAACTGGTAGCATCCCTTGCTGTGCCACAGCTGCTATAGGTGCACCCCAGACAAGCAGGGTCTGGAGCGGACCTCAGCAGTTGTACAGCGAAGGGGCTAGACTGGTAGAAGGAAAACCAAGCAACAGAAATACTTCATCATCAACATTCTGGGTGTCCACTCAGAGACCCAATCAAAAAGTCAGCAACTACGCAGACGACCAGCGGACAAATCCACAAAGATGGGAAGAAACCAGCGCAAAAAGAAGGAAAATACCCGAAACCAGAACACCTCGCCTCCTAGAAAGGACCAAAACTACTCACCGCAAGGGAAAAAAGCTGGACGGAGAATGACTGCGACGAAATGATGGAATTAGACTTCAGAAGATGGATAATGAGAAACTTTTGAGAGCTAAAAGATCATGTATTAAATCAATGCAAAGAAACTAAGAACCTTGAAAAAAGATTTGAAAAAAGATTCGAGGAAATGATAACAAGAATGGATAACTTAGAGAGGAATATGAATGAATTAAAGGAGCCCTACCCAGCAATCCCCACAGGGCGCGCTTGTCCGGGTGCCCTGTTGAACCGGCAACCTGAGAGGTGTACCAGAAGGGGACGAAGAGAATGAATCCAAGCTGGAAAATACTCTTCAGGACATCATCCAGGAAAATTTCCCCCACCTAGCAAGACAGGCCAACACTCAAATGCAGGAAATACAGAGAACACCACAAAGATATTCCGCAAGAAGAGCAACCCCAAGGCACATAATCATCAGATTCAACAGGGTTGAAATAAAGGAGAGAATACTAAGGGCAGCCAGAGAGAAAGGTCGGGTCACCCACAAAGGGAAGCCCATCAGACTCACAGCAGATCTCTCGGCAGAAACACTACAAGCCAGAAGAGAGTGGGGGCCAATATTCAACATTCTTAAAGAAAAGAACTTTCAACCCAGAATTTCATATCCAGCCAAACTGAGCTTCAGAAGTGAACGAAAAATAAAATCCTTTGCGAACAAGCAAGTACTCAGAGATTCTGTCACCACCAGGCCTGCTTTACAAGACCTCCTAAAAGAGGCACTACACATAGAAAGGATCAACCAGTACCAGCCATTCCAAAATCACACTGAATGCTAAAGAGCTTCAACATAATGAAGAATCTACAACAACTAACAGGCAAAACAGCCACTTAGCATCAAAATGGCAGTATCAAATTCACACATAACAATATTAACCCTAAATGTAAATGGACTAAATGCACCAATCAAAAGACACAGACTGGCAAACTGGATAAAAATCCAAAACCCATCAGTGTGCTGTATCCAGGAAACCCATCTCACATGCAAGGATACACAAAGGCTCAAAATAAAGGGATGGAGGAAGATTTACCAAGCTAATGGAAAGCAAAAAAAAGCAGGAGTTGCAATTCTCATCTCTGATAAAATAGACTTTAAAGCAACAAAGATCAAAAGAGACAAAGAAGGCCATTACATAATGGTAAAAGGATCAATAAAACAAGAAGAGCTAACGATCCTAAACATATATGGACCCAATGAAGGAGCACCCAGATACATAAGGCAAGTTCTTAATGACTTACAAAAGGACTTAGACTCCCACACAATAATAGTGGGAGACTTTAACACTCCACTGTCAATACTAGACAGATCAACCAGACAGAAAATCAACAAGGATATCCAGGGCTTGAACTCAGACCTGGAGCAAGCAAACCTGGTGGACATTTACAGAACTCTCCACCCCAAATCCACAGAATACACATTCTTCTCAGCACCACATCACACCTACTCTAAAATTGACCACATAATTGGAAGTAAAGCACTGCTCAACAAATGCAAAACAACTGAAATCATAACAAACAGCCTCTCAGACCATAGTGCAATCAAGTTAGAACTCAGAATTCAGAAACTGACCCAGAACCGCACAGCTTCATGGAAACTGAACAACTGGCTCTTGAATGTTGACTGGGTAAACAACGAAATGAAGGCAGAAATAAAAAAGTTCTTCGAAACCAATGAGAACGAAGACACAACGTGCCAGAACCTCTGGGACACATTTAAAGCAGTCTCTAGAGGAAAGTATATAGCAATAAGAGCCCATATGAGGAGAATGGAGAGATCCAAAATTGACACCCTATCGTCAAAATTGAAAGAGCTAGAGGAGCAAGATCAAAAAAACTCAAAACCCAGCAGAAGACAAGAAATTACTAAGATCAGAGCTGAGCTGAAGGAGATTGAGACACGAAAAACCCTTCAAAAAATCAATAAATCCAAGAGCTGGTTTTTTGAAAAGATCAACAAAATAGACAGACCACTAGCCAGATTGATTAAAAATAATAGAGAGAACAACCAAATAGATGCAATAAAAAATGATAAAGGGGAAATCACCACAGATTCCACAGAAATTCAAACCATCATCAGAGAATATTACAAAGAACTCTATGCGCATAAACTAGTAAACCTGGAAGAAATGGATAAATTCCTGGACTCCTGTGTCCTCCCAAGCCTAAACCAGGAGGAAGCTGAAACTATGAATAGACCAATAACAAGGTCTGAAGTTGAGGCAGCAATTAACAGCCTACCACACAAAAAAAGCCCAGGTCCAGACGGGTTCACAGCCGAATTCTACCAGACACACAAGGAGGAGCTGGTACCATTCCTTCTAAAACTATTTCAAACAATCCAAAAAGAGGGAATCCTTCCCAAATCATTTTACGAGACCAATATCATCCTGATACCAAAACCCGGCTGAGACCCAACGAGAAAAGAAAACTTCAGGCCAATATCCATGATGAACATAGATGCAAAAATCTTCAATAAAATATTGGCAAGCCGATTGCAACAGCAAATCAAAAAACTTATTCATCATGATCAAGTAGGATTCATCCCGGGGATGCAAGGCTGGTTCAACATACGCAAGTCTATCAACGTAATTCACCACATAAACAGAACCAAAAACAAAAACTACATGATTATCTCAATTGACGCAGAGAAGGGATTTGACAAAATTCAACAGCCCTTTATGCTAAAAACCCTCAATAAACTCGGTATCGATGGAATGTATCTCAAAGTAATAAAAGCTATTTATGACAAACCAACAGCCAATATCATACTGAATGGGCAAAAACTGGAAGCATTCCCTTTGAAATCCAGCACTAGACAAGGATGCCCTCTTTCACCACTCCTATTCAATATAGTACTGGAAGTTCTAGCCAGAGCAATCAGGCAAGAAAAAGAAATAAAGGGTATTCAAATAGGAAAGGTGGAAGCCAAATTGTCTCTATTTGCAGACGACATGATAGTATACCTAGAAGACCCAATTGCCTCAGCCCAAAAACTCCTGAAACTGATAAGCAGCTTCAGCAAAGTCTCAGGATATAAAATCAATGTGCAAGAATCACAAGCATTCGTCTACACCAATAACAGACTTAAAGAAAGCCAAATCAAGAACGAACTTCCATTCGCAATTGCTACAAAAAGAATAAAATACCTTGGAATACAACTCACAAGGAACGTAAGGGACCTCTTCAAGGAGAACTACAAACCACTGCTCAACGAAATCAGAGAGGACACAAACAGATGGAGAAACATTCCATGTTCATGTTTAGGAAGTATTAATATTGTGAAAATGGCTATACTGCCCAAAGTAATTTACAGAATCAATGCTATCCCCATCAAGCTACCATTGACTTTCTTCACAGAACTGGAAAAAACCACCATGAACTTCATATGGAACCAAAGGAGAGCCCGCATAGCCAAGTCAATTCTAAGCAAAAAGAACACAGCGGGGGGCATCACACTACTGGATTTCAAACTATACTACAAAGCTACAGTAATCAAAACAGCATGGTTCCGGTACCAAAACAGAGATATAGACCAATGGAACAAAACAGAGATACCGGAGGCAACACAACATATCTACAACTATACAATCTTTGATAAACCTGACAAAAACAAGCAATGGTGAAAGGATTCCCTGTTCAACAAATGGTGTTGGGAAAACTGGCTAGCCATGTGCAGAAAGCAGAAACTGGACCCCTTCCTGACACCATACACTAAAATTAACTCCAGATGGATTAAAGACTTAAACATAAGACCTGGCATGATAAAAACCCTAGAAGGAAATCTAGGCAAAACTATCCAGGACATAGGAGTAGGCAAGGACTTCATGAACAAAACACCAAAAGCATTGGCAACAAAAGCCAAAATAGACAAATGGGACCTAATGAAACTCCACAGCTTCTGCACGGCAAAAGAAACAGTCACTAGAGTGAATCGGCAACCAACAGAATGGGAAAAAATGTTTGCAGTTTACCCATCTGACAAAGGGCTGATATCCAGAATTTACAAAGAACTCAAACAGATTTACAGGAAAAAAACAAACAAGCCCATTCAAAAGTGGGCAAAGGATATGAACAGACACTTTACGAAAGAAGACATATATGAGGCCAACAATCATATGAAAAAATGCTCATCGTCACTGGTCATCAGAGAGATGCAAATCAAAACCACATTGAGATACCATCTCACGCCAGTTAGAATGGCGATCATTAAAAAATCTGGAGACAACAGATGCTGGAGAGGATGTGGAGAAAAAGGAACACTTTTATACTGTTGGTGGGAGTGTAAATTAGTTCAACCATTGTGGAAGACAGTGTGGCAATTCCTCAAGGCCTTAGAAATAGAAATTCCATTTGACCCAGCAATCCCATTACTGGGTATATATCCAAAAGACTGTAAATCGTTCTACTATAAGGACACATGTACACGAATGTTCATTGCAGCACTGTTTACAATAGCAAAGACCTGGAATCAACCCAAATGCCCATTGATAATAGACTGGATTGGAAAAATGTGGCACATATACACCATGGAATATTATGCAGCAATCAGAAATGATGAGTTTGTGTCATTTGTAGGGACATGGATGAATCTGGAGAACATCATCCTCAGCAAACTGACACAAGAACAGAAAATGAAACACCGCATATTCTCACTCATAGGCGGGTGATGAAAAATGAGAACACATGGACACAGAAAGGGGAGTACTAAACACTGGGGTCTATTGGGGGGAAAGGGGAGGGCCAGTGGGAGGGGAGGTGGGGAGGGATAGCCTGGGGAGAAATGCCAAATGTGGGTGAAGGGGAGAAGCAAAGCAAAGCACACTGCCATGTGCATACCTACGCACCTGTCTTGCACGCTCTGCTCATGTACCCCAAAACCTAAAATCCAATAAAAAATTAAAAAAAAAAAAGACAGCAGAAGAAGGAATAGAGCAGAGTTCAGAGAGCAATGAGGAGATGGGGACAGAAAGGGCCTGGCAGGGTGGGAGCCCATGGGACACTGGGGTTAGATCAGACAGAGGTTACAGCAGCTACTGCGGAGAACAAATGGAAGAGAAAAAGCAGTGGGAGAATGGGCTGTCACCATAGACAGAGATAAATAAGAAGTGAGTGCAGCTAAAAGCCATAGATGTGATTACCTCTGCACCCTGAGCATGAAGGCCAACAGATCCAGTTGCTGAATGGGAGTTTTCTTTTTATCTTTTTTTCTTGAGTCGGAGTCTCACTCTGTTGTGCAGGCTGGAGGACAGTGGCAGGATCTTGGCTCACTGCAACCTCTGCCTTCTGGGTTCTAAGTGATTCTTCTGTCTCAGCATCCCAGCTAGCTGGGACTACAGACGAGCGCCACAACGCCCGGATAATTTTTGTTTTTTCTAGTAGAGACAGGGTTTTACCATGTTGGCCAGGATGGTCTTGGTCCCTTGACCTTGTGATCTGCCCACCTCGCCCTCCCAAAGTGCTGGGCTTACTGGCATGAGCCACCGCACCCAGCGTGAATGGGAGTATTCTTTTAATGTTCTTTGGTTTTGAAACACTGATGCATGAATGTTGCCAGTGACTTGACGCCCTTGGGTGGTGTCTGCTGAGCTTTCGAGTGCATCTTCCAGCTGCGGAGCATTCTTCATTTCAACAGACGGGGCTAAAACAACCCAAAAGACATGAAATCAGGAATGTGGCCTTGGACAAGAAAGTCCAAAGGGGGAGGGGAAGCCAACAGAGTGACATTAATATTTTCTTTTTTGTTGATATTTATGACATTACTCAGTAATGAAGGTCCTGGAGCCACCTTTCTCAAAGTTAATTCAGAAAATTCTCTCTCATATACCCTGTCCTCAAGATTCATCTGAGATGCATTTTAGACCCTTAACTGGACATGTAGAAATGGAAATGAGAATAAAATTGAGAGAGGTTAGAATGATATATCTCATGATGTATGCAGATTTGAAGTCCTGTCCTCTGCATGTACTTTTGAATGTCATAAATGTCATTCAGTTAATGTCAGCACAAATGAGTCCTTGAGGTGAGAATACTGAGTCCCTGGCAATTCCATCTACATTGTCACAAGGCTGCACATCTGGGGCTGAAGGCAAACCTGGCTCCAGTCCAGCAGGGAACTCCCACTTGTGACCCAGATTCACGTTCAGTTTTCTAAGTGGGGCTCTCTGTGCTCAGCTTTAACACTTCTCATTCAGAGGAACAAGAGACAAGTAAGGGTGGACTTAGCTGGGTTTCTCCAAAGCCAACTCAAGAGAAAAACCTATGTGTAAATGATGTATTAAAGCCACGCTCCCTGCGGAAAGAAACAATAAAGTTGGGGATACAGGGAGAAAAAGTAATTTCTGAACAGAGTGTGCAATTCCAGGCAAGGAACCCTGTGTTCCACAGCTTAACTGTGTACTTGGATGAGGACAAGGTGGCCTGGCTCTCCTGTGGCTACCAGAGGGACCCTCAAGACAGAAGAAAAAATAGAGCAGGGTTCAGAGAGCAATGAGGAGATGAGGACAGAAAGAGCCTGGCAGGATGGGAGCCCATGGGACACTGGGGTTAGACCAGACAGAGGTTACAGCAGCCCCTGGGGAGAACAAATGGAAGAGAAAAAGCAGTGGGAGAATGAGCTGTCACCATACACAGAGAGAAATAAGAAGTGAGTGCAGCTCAGAGCCATAGAAGTGATTACCTCTGTACCCTGAGCGGAAAGGCCAATGGATCCATTTGCTGAAAGGAAGTTTTCTTTTGATGCTCTTGGGTTTTGGAACACTGGAGGCATCAATGTTGCCAGGCACTTGATGCCATTGGGTGTTTGATGAGCCTTCGAGTGGATCATCTTCCATCTGCGGAAGGTTCTTCATCGCAATGGAGGGGGCTAAAACCAGCTCTGAAAATGAAACAACAGCCAATGGCATCCAGTAGCATTCATGATCTTACTGTGACTTTCTCTTCCACCCAAAGGACATCAAATCACAAATGGGGCCTTGGACAGGAAAGTCCAAAGGGGGTAAGGAAGCCAACAGAGTGACTTTAATACTTTCTTTTTTGTTGATTTTTCTTACATTACTCAGTAATGACAAGTGTGCCAGGAGGCAAGGGCACTCCCAATTCACAAAAATATTCAGGAAACTAAAGATTAAGAAACACAAGTAGCTTCAGGGTAGATATGGCCAAAGCAAGGGAATCACACTGTATGTAGGCTGTGCTTTGGGGAGGGAAGAGATTATAAGAGTGAAAGTTAAATCAGAGCTGAGTCCAAACAGGACAGCGGGGTGGAAGGGCCTGGCAGGGTGGCAGCCCATGGGACACAGAGGTGAGACCAGACAGAGGTTACAGCAGCTGATGAGAAAAGAACCAGGGAAGACTAAACCTGAAGAATTTACAAAACATGCATCACTATATGATCTATTGCACATATATATATATATATACACTACATAGCATACACACCAAATGTACATAATATACATAGCAAATGCTGTAAATGCATATATCTGTAGATATTAAATTAATGAAAATATATAGAGATCTGGGAGATATTTAATGTAACAGTATAATTAATATTCTCTTCCATTGAAATTGAAAAAATAATAGAAACATGAGAAGAATGAGAAAGAAAAGGTGTGCAAAGAAACAAATGACCTGTTAGACAGCAGGGAGAAATGACCAAGGAAACCATAAATGAGGCACAAGGCATTCACTCTTTGCTCTTACTGGGAGCCTGGTTCTGGCTCCGGACTCCAGGGAACCTGGGCAAGAGAGCATGCATCTGAGCCAGTGGGTTGGGTCTTGGCAGGGGGTGTAAGTATCCATAGTGAAACAAAGAAGAATATGGTGGGAAGAAATCAGTTTAAATTAGTTACACGGCACATGTAAGGGACTGCACATCCCCGACACCCACTGAGGGCCTTCCAGGTGTCCTCTCCACGGACCCAAGTGGTGCTCATTATCTCATGTGACCCTCCCTCCTCCTGAGGACAGGGGTCCCCATATTCCTCAGCCGAGGGCCTTAGGATGAGAAATTGACTGGGACAAAGAGTGAGAATGAACAGGATCCAGGGCATTAAGGAAATCTGAGTGGAAGTGGATCCCTGTGAGAAGGAAACTGAGGACATGGCCAAGAGCATGAGTGGAGATGACCAATTAAATGGATTTTCATAAGAGACAGATGTGAACACTTTCCATGTGAAAATTGCCCTTTGTTTTCAAAAAGAGCAGAACAAGGAGAAAGAGGAGCTGGACGTGTCATGACACTGACATGTTAGTCCAGGATTTACACTGTTCCTGAATGTGCCTCATAGGTTGTCACTGAAAGTGCCTGACAGTGGAGAATTGGCCTCATGGGGGATGAGGAAGGAGAGGAAGAAAACTGACAGAGGAGTATATGTGAGAAAGGAAAGGAAGAGGGGACTCTAGAGAACAGAGAGCTTCACAACTGCTCTACTTCAGAGAAGAGAGAGTCTGTGAAGTCACTTTCTAAATGTAAACTTGGCAGAAAGACAAATAGATTAGATAACAGGTATTTATAGGTCTATTGAGTAATTGTTATTCAATCAGGCCCTTTGGAAATTATGATAATTAGTACTCTCAGCGATGATTACCAGTAGATATTATATTTTAGGTAGCTCAGATGAGGAAACAGAGATTTGCATAGCAAAAAAACAAAATCCTGGGCCAGAGTGAACAACAAGAAGGAGGCAAACCCGGGACCTGAGAGCAGATTTTGTCCTAAGCCCCAGGCTCTTGCTCACCTTACTGGGTTGGAGTATTGTGCATTTAACTTGACCCTGAGGGAGCACAGAGAGGCTCCATTCTCTCCTCCACCCATAGCACCGTGAACACCAACACCTGGGCTAGACCTTCCTATCCCCTTTCCTTCCCTACCTTGGAAGAAACTTTGGTTCCCAGAATCAGCATTGACTCTAAAGCTGCAGGTGGTGGGGGAAAAAGCCTGCCTGGCTGAGCCACTCCCAGAGTGGAACTCTTGATCCAGCTCACCTCGTGGACAACTCGCCACCAGGGTGCTTGGATCCAGCTGTGTCTGTGAAGCCTGCACCTCTGACAGGTGGGGGCTCAAGTCTCCACTCCAAGTCCCTTGGTGACAGGTGGCCTGGGTGGAAGCTGAAAGAAGAAGGGGCTTCAGTAGGAACAATCTCAGTTTTCCCTTTGTTAAGGGAACGCCCATCCCCATTGTTCCCACCTCTCAGTAAAGCTACCCAGTGACCCAGGCCACACAGACAGACATCATGTAAATGGAGGCAATGTCATCTTTCCTGTCTGTGCCTGGAAACACTGACATGGCAGGTGCCAGGCTGGGGTGTCCCTGAAGTGAAAAACCCCTCCTTCAGCCAAGAGAACTTTGGATTGGCTATAAAGGTCATGACGATTAGTCTGTCATTATCAATCTCTTTCCTCTGCCTACAGGGAAAGTTCTAGAGAGCCCTCAGAGCATAGGAGAGGAAGAACTGTTCTCCACAACACAGGTGTGTAAGAACAGGGCAAGTGTTAGTGCCAGGAGGCTTTGAGAGAGAACCATGGGAAAGACCAAACACTAAGTGAGGCTAACTTTTCAGGGTTCTGAGACATTTTGAATTTCTCATTGCCTGTAATAATTTAACCCCCTGCCCACACATCTCCATCCTAGTGCTGTATAATAATGGGTGTCAGCAGCCATAGGCAATGTAGTAGAGGGACCAGTCCCTTTGCAGAAATTCAGGGACCACAAGAGCTATACATCTGCATGTGTGGTTCTGTAGGAAGGGAACACAGGGCACAGTCCTCACATTACCCACTCTCCAGTGGGGTTCAGGCATACATCCTAAACAAACTATTTCTATTTCCACAGGGAGAGGAATGCACATTCTCAGAGTGGACTAAGGAAAGACTTCCGATGACCTCACGCCTGTCCAGGTTGGGCTCAGGACAGGGACAGGGTGCAGGGCCGGATCCACGTTGCTACTGCTCCTTTCTCTCTTCCTCTCTCCTCATCCTCATTCACTACAAGACTTCCTAAGTTTTCTTAAAACTGTGCTCCTTGTGTCTATTCTCTTTTGTCTTGCTGAGAGCACAGTGTATCAGAGTTTCATCAGTGATGCCTGGTTTCATACAGCCTCCCTCTCTGCTTTCTCTGACCTTGCCGTGTCCACTCTAGCAATTGTCTCAGCAGTTTTATCTTCCCAAAGCCCTGTTCTTACTATGTTCCCACTCTGCACCTGAACACTTCCTCTCCACTGCCCCGTGTGACTGTCCCCCTCATCCTGCCTCTGTGTTCCTTCTCACTTCTGCCCCATGATCCTACCCAGCATCACCTCCCACCACATGCTCAAACAGACTCTCCCTGAAGTCATGCTGGCCCCTCCGTGGTCCCACTCTGCACCAGGTGCCATCCAGCTCTGTGGTCTCTGTCCAAAAGTCCCTCTCTAGACTGGGTTTTGCCTCCCTAGTGGCTCAAAGCATTCCTTGTGTCTGTTCTTCATCTTCCTGAGAGCACACTTTATTCATCATTAACCATCAGCCACTTAGGACACTCTCACATTTTAAGATAGCTCACATTGGGCAAATGAGAGAAACATCCTGAAACAACAAATTTGGCTGGAGACTGGGCAAACACAGTGCTCCCTTTCTGATTCTCTGCACTTGCTGTTTAGATTAGACTCAAGCTCTGGGAATGCCTTTAATTTTCACTACTTAATTTTCTCATCCCACTTTATCCCTCTTTTCTAGACTACTGAGTCTTATTAAACTTGTACTTTGAATATTCTTTGCATTTTCAGAAGAAAAAAGAAAACGTTTTCTCAAACTTCTGAAGTACTGCAGTACTGTTAATGGGGCAGGTTGGGAGAAGCCATCAAGGAAAGATCAAGAGATAATTTAGGTTGTATTCTCCCTAAATCTACCAAGTCTTTTTCTGCAGGGAAAACATGTGCAGAGCGGATCCACGCTGACACTGCTGCTGGGGTCAGGGCTATGCACTGTGCACACTATTCACACATTATTGTCGAGAAGCCACACACAGGAAGCATCCTTGTGTAATCTGAAGGGTGTGTTCATTCATCTTGGCCCATCTGCATGGATGAACGTGCCCTCTCCTGGCCCATGTTCCTGATGGCAGGGCCGGCCACGTCACAGGCATCTCACTTCTAAGACACGTTTCAGAGCATTTCCCTTCCTTCTTGTAGGAGACTCATCCTGGCTGGGTGTTCATGAGATGCAGCTCCACAGCTTTACAGAAACCTAAACATGGCCAAGTTGAGAGTTGAAACCCTTGGGATAGGGAGGTGGGGAGAGACTAGGACCATTTATTCCCTGAGTACTTTTCCAAGAAAGAACCTGCTGGAGTTGTAGGTCCCCCTGGAAAGACTGGAGGAGCCACTGATTCTGCTGACAGAGTGCACAGAGGTAATCCTTCTTGAAAAATCTGTGCCAGGGACTACAGGACTTCTTTATCCTAGACCAGCAACTTATTCTGTTTCAGCCTGACTTTATTGAAAAATAATTTCTACAAAGGAAAATGGGTGAGCACCCATCATGCCACAGTCCCTGGGAGATGAAATCAGGCAGACAAAAAGACCATGCTCTCACCATGACTAGTCGTGCCATCCTGGGCAAGTGAAGGAAACTTCCTCAGCCTCAGCATCCTCGGCTCTAACATGGAGATGCCACTGCCCCCTTGGGAGCATTCCTTCAGCTCTGAACATTTATAGCAGGAAAGAGCTTATTTGGCAAGGGGCAGAGCATATGCATATAAAAGGTCAAAGAGTATTTTATTTGTTTAATGAATCACTGTGATCACAGAAAATTATTTACTTTTTCAAACTCAGGGAGAAATGCATAACCGGAAAGGTATGGTCCTGGTAGGAAAGGCACTCACTGACTGATAGAATAGAGACCAACATTTTCATTGCTAGTTTCTCTCTCTCCTCTCTCTCTCTCTCTCTCTCTCTCTCTCTCTCTGTGTGTGTGTGTGTGTGTGTGAATGTGTGTGTGTGACACAGGTCTCACCTTGTTGCTCAGGCTGGAGTGCAGTGGTGCAATGATGCACTGCAGCCTCAATTTCCCAGGCTCAGGTGATTCTTACACCACAGCCACCCATAAAGTTGGAAGCACAGGGGTGTGTCACCAAGCCTTGCTAATTTTTCATAGGGACATGTTTTTGTAGTGTTGCCCACGTTGGTCTCAAAATCCTCAACTCAAGCAATCTACTTGCCTCAGCCTCCCAAAGTGCTGGAATTACAGGCATGAACCACCGCACCTGGCACTGTTGCTAATTTTATTACAACATAATAGGATATACTGGGGTACATCACAGAGTTACCTGCTCTTAGTAGAAAATAGATTGATGGTTGAAACTCCCAACAATGCACATGAAACTCCAAAATGGATATTTAAAAAAATACAATGAGCAAGAAGAAATGAAAATCGGAATTTTTCTCTACATAGCCTGTGAGCTGCTACACAATAGGGCACTTGCTCAGAGGAAGGGTTTTCTGGACATCATGAGGATAGAAACCACTTCGCTTTGCTCATCAGTTACACCAGTACCCCGTGAGGGACACTCATTCTCAATGGTTTTCATGAGAATATAGCACTGAGACCAAATCACGATTTAAACAACAAGCCCACACATGGAAAAAGCCACTGGAGCTCTGCAGAGAATGCAAGCCTGGGCCTGAGTTAAGGAAGGGATGCTGGACTGCGTCAGTGGAGGGAGGTCACCTCCCAGCAGGTAGAGCCGCAGTCCTCAACCTTTTGGGCACCAGCATTCAGTTTCACAGAAGACAATTTTTCTGGGTCTGGGGTATGGGGGATGGTTTCAGGATGATTCATGCACATTACATTTTTTGTGTAGTTTTTCTATGATTATTACATTATAATATCTAATGAAATAATTATACAACTCACCAAATCAATGAAAGCCCTAAGCTTGTTTTCCTGAAACTAGATGGTCCCACGTGGGGGTGACAGTCACTGGGAGACAGTGACAGATCATCACGCATTAAATTCTCATGAGGAGTGCAGAACCTAGATCGCTCACAATAGAGTTCGCGTCCTGTGAGAATTGAATGCCACTGCTGATCTGGCAGGAGGTGAAATTCAGGCGGTCATGCTCTCCCACCGCTGACCTCCTGCTGTGTGGCCCAGTTTCTAACAGGTCATGGACCCACAACTGTCCATGGCCCCTAAGCTGGGGATCCCTAGAGTAGAGAATCATTATCAGACACAGGAATTCTACAATGGGCTCTGAAATAATGGTGCAAAACTGCCTGGATGTGTGGATGGCCAGAGAAGAGATAAGGGCACTGTTCAAGGCATGCAGTTAGCAACATCATTTGAGAAAAGACAGATGCCCTATTTTACAGAAGAAGGTTTTTATGCAAATATATCCAGATGGGCTACTGTGGCCAAAAACTTGCTATGAGTCCTGACCTCTTTCCTGTTTTCATGCCCACAGCCTGTTCTTGTGAGAAGAAACCAGGTGACCGAGGAGTCACTTGGGACAGGAAAAGAGGAAGTTCCTCCCACTGGATGTCTGTGATTAAAAATGGAGCCAAGAGTCAGATTCAAAACTGAGGCAGGCTCAGTTTACGGGGCCTGCCTGCATTGATGATCTGACTCAGTGACACAAGTTGCAGAAACATAACATACAGAGGCTGCCTGGGAGGACCATGGGGTTTTGGGACCTTCAGGCTGGAGTACTCACAGGCTACATCCAGAGCAGGGCACGTGAGCTGATTCTCCAGTGAGGACGAGGCACTCCTATAAGGCTAATGGTAATCAGACAGGTCACCCTGAACTGAAAGAGTCCAGTAAAGTTCATCCAGGGAGTCTTCTGGGGCTTCCTGCTCCTTTGCCTCCAGTAGCTCCTGGCTCAGCCTGGGGTGAAGAAGACAGAAGATAAACACTGGACAGGACCCATACGACTGCACCCAGATGGTTCTATAGGGAGGACCACAGGAGAGGCCAGAGGAAGCCAAGTACGGTCCTCTCAAAGAGACACAACCATCCTTCTCTGTGTGGAGCAGGAGACAGAGTGGCAGGTGCTCAGTGCACTGGGCAGACAATGATCTGGGGAGGAAGAGCTGGAGGGATCCCTGTGGGAGACTGCGAGGACACAGTGAATTCAGCACTTGGACACACATTTTGTTGAAATTAGCATCAGAGGCCAAATGAATGCAGCTTCTTGCATCTTCACAGAAAGAGTTCCTGTATCCTCAACCTCGCTTGTTCTCAAAACTGTGAGCATGATATGAGTTGTTTTCATTCACTTTCCTGCTGGCAAATACTTGCAAACATGGAAATGCCAAAGAGGCAGACAACAGGTGAGATCGGAAATCCCTGAGTTTAGTCTGTTCACCTGACCTTTTGCCTAACTTACATTCTTTCTGAGACCTTTTCCAGATTTCACCACCCATTACCCGCTCCTGATTATTCAGTGTTACCTTGGGGCTGCTGATTTCTGCTTTCTCGCCCTCCTCATCTGTTTGATCTTGATGATGTTTATCATTTCCTGGAATTACAGAAGCATCTACTCAGATATTTCCCACTTTACCCAATGAAATCACAGTCAGCCCTATGTGTACCAAGACAAGAACATGCATCTATGGGTCTGCATTGTACTGAACACTGTCATGTTTTATTTTTAACCTGACAGGTTTTCCTGATCCATGAGGCAACATGTTTCTAATCTGGAGGGTCACCATCAAGATGCCGCCAAATAGTCAAAAGACATCTTGCTCTTTATATTACTACAGGCTTGCCCAGCCTCTCTCCAAGCTTCAGCAGCTGTCTCCCCAATCCTGCCTCACTTTTGATACCCAGGCACAGGCTCTGTATTTTGTTAGAGCTTACATTGAAACCTCTATCTTTCTTTTTTCTTGTTTTCCCCGAGAAGGAGTTTTGCTCTAGCTCTTGTTACCCAGGCTGGGGTGCAATGTGGTGATCTCAGCTCATCGCAACCTCCACCTCCTGGATTCAACCTCCACCTCCTGGGTTCCTGCATCAGCCTCCTGAGTAGCTGGGATTATAGGCCCGCGCCACCATGCCCAGCTAATTTTTTGTATTTTTAGTAGAGACAGGGTTTCACCATGTTGATCAGGATGGTCTCGATCTCTTGACCTCGTGATCCACCAGCCTCGGCCTCCCAAAGGGCTGGGATTACAGGCTTGAGCCACCGCACCCGGCCACCTGTATCTTTCTCTTATGACAGGACAAACTAACTTGTCCCACTATACTCCATGCATCGGGGACTTCGTGGGCCCTCCAAGAGGCTTCTGCTGTCTTATCCAGGAACACACTTTCCATGTGGAGTGCATGGAGATGGCTTCCTACCACCAAATGCCCCCACATCAAGTGCCTTCTCCAAAGCACCCAGCAAGGGGCTTTATCTCATCATGAAATATCATCATTAAGTGTTCCCACATTTGAATGCAAGAGACAATTTGTCTGCCTTTACAGATTTAGAGACAGGAACTCAGGAAGGATAATTTAATCAGTTACCCACAGTTGCCAAAGACACTGCTGAAGATAGAGCCTGGAACCCTCATTCTTAGTCCAGGGCTCTTTTGACTCTGAAAAGCTGCCTCCTGTCACAGCCTCCTTCCTGTCCTTTAAAACTGGACAGATGCTGCCTCTTGCCTTAAAGACCATGTTCCAGCAAGAAATGAGAAGACACTTACCATCCTGTGACCTCCAACCCCATAGGTTTCCCATCTCTTTCTGCCCAGGATGTCCTGGTCATGTCATGGCTACAAATTTTTAGTGAAAAGAAATAAAATTGTCACTGTGGAGGTGTGGTGGTCTGGGGACTTTCATAAGCCTGGGGCTGTGTGTCATCAGGGCCTGTGCCCACCTTACCTGGGCTGAGCCTGCTGACATAATGCTCTGTCAGCTTGTGCCCCTTAGCCAGCTGCTCTTGGAGGTTCTGACGCTGAGACTTACCAGGGTCATCAGGAGTGACGTGGGCCTTCAATCGCTCATTCCGTAACTTGGTGGCATCTATTTCTTCTTGTAACTTTGCCAGCTGCTCTGCCTGAGATTGAGTCAGGGCTTTATATTCCCTATGGGGACATAGCAGAGAATGTTTAATAACGGAAAGGGATGAGTGATCAGTTCTAATACTGCAACGGAGGTTTAGGTGAGAATGTCCTCAAGGAGCCCCCCAAGCAGAACATCACAACCTGTTTGGGGAAATGCCTGTGGTCCAGAGGAATGTGTGTGTGTGTGTGTGTATGTGTCTATAGCATATCTACATCTATATCTATATATTTTGAGATAACAAAGATTAAACCACAAGGGATTGAACCACAGAAAATTCCAACTGGTTTTCACAGGAGCCATTAGGTTGTGGTCCCAGAAAGCAAATGGGGAGGTTCTGTTTAAGAGGGAACAGGCAATTTTCCTCTCTCTGCAACAGAGCACGGCTGCCATATTATGTATATACAATATAATAAATAAATATGCATTTATTTTTTAAAGCAGGGCATGGTGGCTCATGCCTATGATCTGAGCACGTTGAGATGCTGAGGCGGGCAGAACCTGAGATCAGGTGTTTAAACCCAGCCTGGCCAACATGGTGAAACCCTGTCTCTACAAAAAATACAAAAATTAGCCAGGCATGGTGGTGCACACCTGTAGTCCCAGCTACTCGGGAGGCGGAGACAGGAGAATTGCTTGAACCATGGAGGCTTCCTCTGTATCAGAGAGAGCTCCTGTGAGATCCTGTATGATGTTCCATTCATTTTTGTCTTCTGTAAACGAAAGTCAGTCTTCCCAAATCGGTTTCAAAAGGATGTCCTTTCAGCTTCTCACTTTAGCCGTGGACATTTCTATGTGAAAACTCCCATAGTGCATCAAGCAGTGACTGGAAACAGAGCCATGCACAAAAGTTTGGCCTGGTGCAGATGGGGTGAATTGTAAAAATAAAAAAAGAAAAGAATGACAGGTCAAGAAGACATTATTGAATGAACAAATGAGTTGCTGCAGTCAGCCAGGAGGTGACTCTAAGAGTACATGGGATAGAGTGTACTAAATGATGCTGGGTGGTTCACTTTCTTTTAGTTAATTTTGGATATGCAAATTTTGACTCAACATTTCATTGTTATAAAAAGTGTAAACAAAGCTCAAGAAAACAACTGCAGCTGGTAACGTGCTAAGATGACTGTTCTGTTTTATGAATGCTGCTGTGGAATGTGCCTGCCACGTAAATGTCTGTCCTGGTCCAGGCCCAGCTTAGCTGCTGGTTCTCTCAGCTGAACTGCTGCACTTCAGAGATTCACACCGTTGCCCCCCGCCTGTCTCCACAGCATCTGCTCACCTGAGCTCCTCTGTTCCCATGAGCTCCTCTTCTAGCAACGCCTCCTTGTAGTTGACAGTATCTATTTGGAGAGTCTTCAATCTTTGTCTATAGTTTTGACATTCTAAAAAAAGACAGTAAAACCTACCTCAGTGGAAGGGACAGGCTGCTGTGGTCACAGCCTACATGGCAGGTGGCTGCATCCATCCCAAGGACAAAAGCATCTCCATTATCAGGCTCCAGTGAGGGATTTCCTCATTTTTAATGATCAACATCCCAACTCGCTGGCATGTGATACTCTCCAATGTAGAGACGGGGAAAAAGAAACTCATTGGCACATCAAGTAACTTGACAGAATGATTCACCTGGAATGAGACATGCCTGCCTCAGTGGAAGGCAGTGGAAGTCGTAACGTGCTAAGATTACTGTCCTGTTTTATGAGTGTTGCTGTGAAACATGCCTGCCACGTAAACGTCTGTCCTAGTCCTGTCCCAGCTTAGCTGCTGGTTCTCCCAGCTGAAGTGCTGCATTCAGAGATTCACACCTATGCCCCCCGCCTGTCTCCACAGCATCTGCTCACCTGAGCTCCTCTGTTTTCATGAGCTCCTCTTATAGCAACGCCTCCATGTAGTTGACAATATCTATTTGGAGAGTGTTCAATAGTTCTCTATAGTTTTCACACTGTAAGCAAAGACAGTAAAACCTGCCTCAGTGGAAGGGACAGGCTGCTGTGGTCACTGCCTCCATGGCAGGTGGCAGCATCCATCCCAAGGACAAAAGCATCTCCACTATCAGGCTCCAGTGAGGGATTTCCTCATTTTCAATGATCAACCTTCCAACTCGCTGGCATGTGATACTCTCCAACTTAGAGATGGGGAGAAAGAAACTCATTGGCACATCAAGTAACTAGACAGGATGAATCACCTGGAATGAGACATGCCTGCCTCAGTGGAAGGCAGTGGAAGTCCTAATGTGCTAAGATTACTGTCCTGTTATGTGAGTATTGCTGTGAAATGTGCCTGCCACGTAAATGTCTGTCCTAGTCCTGTCACAGCTTAGCTGCTGGTTCTCTCAGCTGAAGGGCTGCACTTCAGAGATTCACACCTTTGCCCCCCGCCTGTCTTCACAGCATCTGTCCACCTGAGTTCCTCAGTTCGCATGAGCTCCTCTTCCAGCAACACCTCCGTGTAATTTAAAATATCAATTTTCAGAGTGTTCAACCTTTCTTTATAGTCTTCACCCTGTAAGAATAGACAGTAAGGCCAGCCTCAGTGGAAGGGACAGGCTGCTGTGGTCACTGGCTACAAGGAAGGTGGCAGCATCCATCCCAAAAAAAAAAGCATCTCCACTACCAGGCTCATGTGAGGGATTTCCTCATTTTCAATAATCAACCTTCCAACTCGCTGGCATGTGATACTCTCCAACTTAGAGATGGGGGAAAAAAACCTCATTGGCACATCAAGTAATGTGACAGGATGATTCTCCTGGAATAAGACATGGCTGCCTCAGTGGAAGACAGTGGAAGTCATAACGTGCTAAGATTACTGTCCTGTTATGTGAGTGTTGTTTTGAAATGTGCCTGCCATGTAAATGTCTGTCCTGGTCCTAGCCCAGCTTAGCTGCTGGTTCTCCCAGCTGAAGTGCTGCACTTCAGAGATTCACACCTTTGCACCCCGCCTGTCTCCACAGCATCTGCTCACCTGAGCTCAATTACTTTGAACTCCTCATAAATGATCTGCTCTCCGATTTCATACATGTCTCTCTCCAAAGACTTGATGTTTAGTTGGTATTCATCAGTCTGAGAAAAGAAAGTCATGCCAGCCTCAGTGGAAGGCTGCACAGGCTGTTGTGGTCACTGCCTACATGGCAGGTGGCAGCATCCATCCCAAGAAGGAAAGCATCTCCACTATCAGGCTCCAGTGAGGGATTTCCTTATTTTCAATGATGAACCTCCCAACTCGCTGGCATCTGATACTCTCCAACATAGAGATGGGAAAAAAGAAACTCATTGGCACATCAAGTAACTTGACAGGATGATTCACCTGGAATGAGACATGCCTGCCTCAGTGGAAGGCAGTGGAAATTGTAACATGCTAAGATTACTGTCCTGTTTTATGAGTGTTGCTGTGAAATGTGCCTGCCACGTAGATGTCTGTCCTGGTCCTGGCCCAGCTTAGCTGCTGGTTCTCCCAGCTGAAGTGCTGCACTTCATAGATTCACACTTTTGCCCCCCGACTGTCTCCATGGCATCTGCTCACCTGAGCTCAATTATTTTGAACTCCTCATAAATGGTCTGCTTTTCGATTTCTTAGATGACTCTCTCCAGAGACTTGACATTTAGTTGGTATTCATCAGAGTCTGAGTAAAGAAAGTCATGCCTCCCTCAGTGGAAGCTGGACAGGCTGCTGTGGTCACTGCCTACATGGCAGCATCCATCCCAGGGACAAAAGCATCTCCATTATCAGGCTCCAGTGAGCAATTTCCTCATTTTTAACGATCAACCTCCCAACTCGCTGGCATCTGATACTCCAACTTCGAGATTGGGAAAAAGAAACTCATTGGCACATCAGGTAACTTGACAGGATGATTCACCTGGAATGAGACATGCCTGCCTCAGTGGAAGGCAGTGGAAGTCGTAACGTGCTAAGATTACTGTCCTGTTTTATGAGTGTTGCTGTGAAATGTGCCTGCCACGTACATGTTTGTACTGGTTCTGGTTCACCTTAGCTGCTGGTTCCCCCAGCTGAAGTGCTGCACTTCAGAGATTCACACCTTTGCCTCCCGCCTGTCTCCACAGCATCTGCTCACCTGAGCTCCTCTTTTTTCCTGAGCTCCTCTTATAGCAACGCCTCCGTGTAGTTGACAATATCTATTTGGAGAGTGTTCAATCGTTCTCTATAGTTTTCACATTCTAAGAAAAGACAGTAAGGCCAGCCTCAGTGGAAGGGACAGGCTGCTGTGGTCACTGGCTACATGGCAGGTGGCAGCATCCATCCCAAACAAAAAACCATCTCCACTACCAGGCTCCAGTGAGGGATTTCCTCATTTTCAATAATCAACCTTCCAACTCGCTGGCATGTGATACTCTCCAACTTAAGAGATGGGGAAAAAAAACTCATTGGCACATCAAGTAACTTGACAGGATGATTCACCTGGAATAAGACATGGCTTCCTCAGTGGAAGGCAGTTGAAGTCGTAACGTGCTAAGATTACTGTCCTGTTATGTGAGTGTCGTTTTGAAATGTTCCTGCCACATAAATGTGTCCTGGTCCTAGCCCAGCTTAGCTGCTGGTTCTCCCAGCTGAAGTGCTGCACTTCAGAGATTCACCCCTTTGCCCCCCGCCTGTCTCCACAGCATCTTCTCACCTGAGCTCCTCTTCCAGAAACGCATCCGTGTAATTTAAAATATCAATTTTCAGAGTGTTCAACCTTTTTTTATAGTCTTCACACTCTAAGAATAGACAGTAAGGCCAGACTCAGTGGAAGAGACAGGCTGCTGTGGTCACTGCCTACGTGGCAGGTGGCAGCATCCATCCCAAGGACAAAAGCATCTCCACTATCAGGCTCCAGTGAGGGATTTCCTCATTTTCAATGATCAACCTCCAAACTTGCGGGCATGTGATACTCTCCAAATTAGAGATAAGGAATAAGAAACTCATTGGCACATCAAGTAACTTGACAGGATGATTCACCTGGAATGAGACATGCCTGCCTCAGTGGAAGGCAGTGGAAGTCGTAACGTGCTAAGATTCCTGTCCTGTTTTATGAGTGTTGCTGTGAAACGTGCCTGCCACGTACATGTCTGTCCTGGTCCTGGTTCAGCTTACCTGTTGGTTCTCCCAGCTGAATGCTGGACTTCAGAGATTCACACCTCTGCACCACCCCTGTCCCCACAGTGTCTGCTCACCTGAGCTCCTCAATTATTTTGAACTCCTCATAAATGGTCTGCTCTCCGATTTCATAGATGTCTCTCTCCAAAGACTTGGTGTTTAGTTGGTATTCATCAGAGTCTGAGAAAAGAAAGTCATGCCTGCCTCAGTGGAAGGCTGCACAGGCTGTTGTGGTCACTGCCTACATGGCAGGTGGCAGCATTCATCCCAAGGACGAAAGCATCTCCACTATCATGCTCCAGTGAGGGATTTCCTTATTTTCAATGATGAACCTCCTCGCTGGCATCTGATACTCTCCGATGTAGAGATGGGGAAAAAGAAACACATTGGCACATCAAGTAACTTGACAGGATGATTCACTTGGAATGAGACATGCCTGCCTCAGTGGAAGGCAGTGGAAATTGTAACATGCTAAGATTACTGTCCTGTTCTATGAGTGTTGCTGTGAAATGTGCCTGCCACGTAGATGTCTGTCCTGGTCCTGGCCCAGCTTAGCTGCTGGTTCTCCCAGCTGAAGTGCTGCACTTCATAGATTCACACCTTTTCCCCCCGCCTGTCTCCACGGCATCTGCTCACCTGAGCTCCTCAATTATTTTGAACTCCTCATAAATGGTCTGCTTTTCGATTTCATAGATGTCTCTCTCCAGAGACTTGACATTTAGTTGGTATTCATCAGAGTCTGAGTAAAGAAAGTCATGCCTGCCTCAGTGGAAGCTGGACAGGCTGCTGTGGTCACTGCCTACATGGCAGCATCCATCCCAGGGACAAAAGCATCTCCACTATCAGGCTCCAGTGAGCGATTTCCTCATTTTTAATGATCAACCTCACAACTCGCTGGCATCTGATACTCTCCAACTTCGAGATTGGGAAAAAGAAACTCATTGGCACATCAAGTAACTTGACAGGATGATTCACCTGGAATGAGACATGCCTGCCTCAGTGGAAGGCAGTGGAAGTCATAACGTTCTAAGATTACTGTCCTGTTATGCGAGTGTTGCTGTGAAATGTGCCTGCCATGTACATGTCTGTATTGGTCCTGGTTCAGCTTAGCTGCTGGTTCTCCCAGATGAAGTGCTGCACTTCAGAGATTCACACCTTTGCCCCCCACCTGTCTGCACAGCATCTGCTCACCTGAGCTCCTCTTTTTTCATGAGCTCCTCTTATAGCAACGCTTCCGTGTAGTTGACAATATCTATTTGGAGAGTGTTCAATCGTTCTCTATAGTTTTCACACTCTAAGAAAAGACAGTAAAACCTGCCTCTGTGGAAGAAACAGGCTGCTGTGGTCACTGGCTACATGGCAGGTGGCAGCATCCATCCCAAGGACAAAAGCATCTCCACTATCAGACTCCAGTGAGGGATTTCCTCATTTTCAATGATCAACCTCCCAACTCGCTGGCATGTGATACTCTCCAACTTAGAGATGGGGAAAAACAAACTCATTGGCACATCAAGTAACTTGACAGGATGATTCACCTGGAATGAGACATGCCTGCCTCAGTGGAAGGCAGTGGAAGTCATAACGTGCTAAGATTACTGTCCTGTTATGTGAGTGTTACTGTGAAACGTGCCTGCCACGTAAATGTCTGTCCTAGTCCTGTCCCAGCTTAGCTGCTGGTTCTCCCAGCTGAAGTGCTGCACTTCATAGATTCACACATTTGCCCCCCGCCTGTCTCCACAGCATCTGCTCACCTGAGCTCAATTATTTTGAACTCCTCATAAATGGTCTGCTCTCCGATTTCATAGATGTCTCTCTCCAAAGACTTGATGTTTAGTTGGTATTCATCAGAGTCTGAGAATAGAAAGTCATGCCAGCCTCAGTGGAAGGCTGCACAGGCTGTTGTGGTCACTGCCTACATGGCAGGTGGCAGCATCCATCTCAAGGACGAAAGCATCTACACTATCAGGTTCCAGTGAGGGATTTCCTTATTTTCAATGATCAGCCTTCCAACTCGCTGGCATGTGATACTCTCCAACTTAGAGATGGGGAGAAAGAAACTCATTGGCACATCAAGTAACTTGACAGAATGATTCACCTGGAATGAGACATGCCTGCCTCAGTGGAAGGCAGTGGAAGTCATAACGTGCTAAGATTACTGTCCTGTTTTATGAGTGTTGCTGTGAAATGTGCCTGCCATGTAAATGTCTGTCCTGGTCCTGGCCCAGTTTAGCTGCTGGTTCTCCCACCTGAAGTTCTGCACTTCAGAGATTCACACCTTTGCCCCCCACCTGTCTGCACAGCATCTGCTCACCTGAAGTCCTCTTTCAGCAACGCCTCCGTGTAATTTAAAATATCAATTTTCAGAGTGTTCAATTTTTTTTTATAGTCTTCGCTCTCTAAGAATAGACAGTAAGGCCAGACTCAGTGGAAGGGACAGGCTGCTGTGGTCACTGCCTACATGGCAGGTGGCAGCATCCATCCCAAGGACAAAAGCATCTCCACTATCAGGCTCCAGTGAGGGATTTCTTCATTTTTAATGATCAACCTCACAACTCGCTGGCATCTGATACTCTCCAACTTAGAGACCGGGAAAAAAAAACTCATTGGCACATCAAGTAACTTGACAGGATGATTCACCTGCAATGAGACATGCCTGCCTCAGTGGAAGGCAGTGGAAGTCGTAACGTGCTAAGATTCCTGTCATGTTTTATGAGTGTTGCTGTGAAATGTGCCTGCCACGTACATGTTTGTACTGGTCCTGGTTCAGCTTAGCTGCTGGTTCTCCCAGCTGAAGTGCTGCATTCAGAGATTCACACCTATGCCCCCCGCCTGTCTCCACAGCATCTGCTCACCTGAGCTCCTCTGTTTTCATGAGCTTCTCTTATAGCAACGCCTCCATGTAGTTGACAATATATATTTGGAGAGTGTTCAATAGTTCTCTATAGTTTTCACACTGTAAGCAAAGACAGTAAAACCTGCCTCAGTGGAAGGGACAGGCTGCTGTGGTCACTGCCTCCATGGCAGGTGGCAGCATCCATCCCAAGGACAAAAGAATCTCCACTATCAGGCTCCAGTGAGGGATTTCCTCATTTTCAATGATCAACCTTCCAACTCGCTGGCATGTGATACTCTCCAACTTAGAGATGGGGAGAAACTCATTGGCACATGAAGTAACTTGACAGGATGAATCACCTGGAATGAGACATGCCTGCCTCAGTGGAAGGCAGTGGAAGTCCTAACGTGCTAAGATTACTGTCCTGTTATGCGAGTGTTGCTGTGAAATGTGCCTGCCACGTAAATGTCTATCCTAGTTCTGTCCCAGCTTAGCTGCTGGTTCTCCCAGCTGAAGTGCTGCACTTCACAGATTCACACCTTTGCCCCCTGCCTGTCTCCACAGCATCTGCTCACCTGAGCTCCTCAGTTCGCATTGAGCTCCTCTTCCAGCAACACCTCCGTGTAATTTAAAATATCAGTTTTCTGAGTGTCCAACTTTTCTTTATAGACTTCACACTCTAAGAATAGACAGTAAGGCCAGCCTCAGTGGAAGGGACAGGCTGCTGTTGTCACTCGCTTCATGGCAGGTGGCAGCTTCCATCCCAAGGATAAAAGCATCTCCACTATCAGGCTCCAGTGAGGGATTTCCTCATTTTCAATGATCAACCTCCCAACTCGCTGGCATGTGATACTCTCCAACTTAGAGATGGGGAGAAAGAAACTCATTGGCACATCAAGTAACTTGACAGTATGATTCACCTGGAATGAGACATGCCTGCCTCAGTGGAAGGCAGTGGAAGTCGTAACGTGCTAAGATTACTGTCCTGTTTTATGAATGTTGCTGTGAAATGTGCCTGCCACGTAGATGTCTGTCCTGGTCCTGGCCCAGCTTAGCTGCTGGTTCTCCCAGCTGAAGGGCTGCACTTCAGAGATTCACACCTTTGCCCCCCGCCTGTCTCCACAGCATCTGCTCACCTGAGCTCCTCAGTTCGCATGAGCTCCTCTTCCAGCAACACCTCCGTGTAATTTAAAATATCAATTTTCAGAGTGTTCAACCTTTCTTTATAGTCTTCACCCTGTAAGAATAGACAGTAAGGACAGCCTCAGTGGAAGGGACAGGCTGCTGTGGTCACTGGCTACATGGCAGGTGGCAGCATCCATCCCAAGGACAAAAGCATCTCCACTATCAGGCTCCAGTGAGGGATTTCCTCATATTCAATGATCAACCTCCCAACTTGTTGGCATGTGATACTCTTCAACTTAGAGATGGGGAAAAACAAACTCATTGGCACATCAAGTAACTTGACAGGAGGATTCGCCTGGAATGAGACATGGCTGCCTCAGTGGAAGGCAGTGAAAGTCGTAACATGCTAAGATTACTGTCCTGTTTTATGAGTGTTGCTGTGAAATGTGCCTGCCACGTAAATGTCTGTCCTGGTCCTGGGCCAGCTTAGCTGCTCATTCTCCCAGCTGAAGTGCTGCACTTCATAGATTCACACCTTTACCCCTTGCCTGTCCCCACAGCTTCTGCTCACCTGAGCTCCTCAATTATTTTGAACTCCTCATAAATGGTCTGCTTTTCGATTTCATAGATGTCTTCCTCCAGAGACTTGATATTTAGTTGGTATTCATCAGAGTCTGAGTAAAGAAGTCATGCCTGCCTCAGTGAAAGCTGGACAGGCTGCTGTGGTCACTGCCTACATGGCAGGTGGCAGCATCCATCCCAGGGACAAAAGCATCTCCACTATCAGGCTCCAGTGAGGGATTTCCTCATTATTAATGATCAACCTCCCAACTCGCTGGCATCTGATACTCTCCAACTTCGAGATTGGGAAAAAGAAACTCATTGGCACATCAAGTAACTTGACAGGATGATTCACCTGGAATGAGACATGCCTGCCTCAGTGGAAGGCAGTGGAAGTCGTAAAGTGCTAAGATTACTGTTCTGTTATATGAGTGTTGCTATGAAATATGCCTGCCACGTAAATGTCTTTCCTAGTTTAGGTGCAGCTTCGCTGCTGGTTCTCCCAGCTGAAGTGCTGCACTTGAGAGATTCACACCTCTGCTCCCCTGCCTATCTCCACAGTGTCTGATCACCTGAGCTCCTCAAGTTGCCTTAACTTTTTCTATATTGTTTTTTCTCCAATCTGAAGTATATCTTTTTCAGAGACTTCATGTTACGGCTATGAATTTTTTAGTCTGAATTCATAGCCCCCAATGTTTGGCTCTGAATCCTGGGACACTTTTCCAAGGCTTGCAACCTCTCCTGTCAAACACTCCTGTGGCATGAAGTAGTGATATCCTGCAGAGTCGGCATGGCCTTTAGGACTACGGGACTCATGGATTTCCTCTTACTGGAAATTTCTAGCACAAATATGTCAAAGATTATACATTATATCTGAATATAATTGCATAAATATGAGGCTTAAGGCCCTGAGGTCATCATAGAAATATGACCAAATACTAATAAAGTTTGAATTAAGTCAGAAACTGTAGAATGAACAACTAATAGATAGTGTTTACTCTGTGCCAAGAATTTTTCTAGCAGATTTAGAATAAACATTTCAGGTAATTCATTGCAGCAATTTACAGAGGTAGGTATTATTATAGTACCCAATGAACAAATGATGAAACTGAGGCACAGAGAAGATAGGCCACTTGGATGGAGCCCAGGAGACTGGCCCAGGCTCCTCGCTTTGCACATGGCACTGCTACCTCTCCAGTGTCTTACGTGCCATCTTTCTTCCTCTTTAGAAAAAGAGCCTGTGCTCCAGGATGCAGGACTTCCCTCTCCCCAGGGTACTCCCTGCTCTTCATGCTGTCACTCATGGATGCCACTATTACTGTTAGGAGCAGTCTCCTCTTTAAGCTCTTTATAGCAGGTACTGTATACTGTTCCCACATTTCCCCTCGGGTTTCCTGAAGAGAGATTTATTTATTGGGCCTCAAAGAAGCTGAAACGGAATGGCAGTTTATTAGTTTCAGGCATTTAGGCCAACAGACTAGATGTTATTTGTCTTCAGGATCTTCTAGGGTACGGAGAGCATTCTCATAAACATGATTGAGCATCTTTCTGAGAAAAGCAATTGGTTCTGTGCCTGTGTCAGAAGTCAATAAGTAGAATTTTAACTCTAGTCCCACCTCACATCGGACTGCTAACGTGGAAAAGTTGCTAAATACGTTGTGCCTCTGTTTTCCATCCTTAACACAATGAAGTTAAAATACACATTTCTGTTTTCCTAGAACTAAGGAAAGGATGAAATTAATTTTGATGAAGAGACTGTTCAGTATCTCAGAGACAAGACAGGTGCTGATTCATCACTTTCATGATGTTGAATCTATAAAACCTATCATATTTCTTCAGCTGCTTGGCCAGAGAGTAGGCAGTAGCTCGACTTATAAGAAATTTCTCTTTGAGGTCTTCAAACTGCTGTTGGCTCTCTGCCAGCTGGGAGCGCAATTCCTCATAGATTTCTAGGATGATCATCTCTGCCCTATCATGGAACAAATGTGTGGCAGTAACCACCATGTTGACATTTGTGGCAGTAGAGTTCACACAGGGATAGGGGAGAAGGAACCCAAGCACATGATGGATCAAAAACTAGTGAAATCAACTAGGTTTAGTCAGGACTGAGGGATGACAACAGCTGGTATTGTTGACTTACAGTTGTGAAGAACTCGATCAACACCCCACAGCATTTTAGAGTCTTTAATAGCAAAAAAAAGTTTAGGATGCTGAGCTCAGAGCCAAAGGTGGGGGTGTCATAAAATCTCAGGAGCCCTGCACTCCAATTGCCCAGGCTGTGCTGAAACCCAAGGCCCCCTGGTCTCACCTTAGCGTCACTGATGGGGACCATTTCCTCAGCAGTCCCTGTCAGTATTTGTGCACCTTTGTGACAGTGCTGCAGACTCACCTCTTTCCCAATACATCTAAGCATATTTCTTGTTTTTCATTTCTTGTGTATATAAAATCATCAAGGTGGAGATAGTTTCCCAAGAAGTTACATTTTCTTAGTGGTAGTCAGGAAGTCACCCCACCTTCTCTAGTTAAAGCAGATCTTAAGGCTTTTCCACACATGAAAGATGTCAAACTTTTAGACTGCCATGATATCTTCTGGGTTCTGCATTTTTTGTTTCTGTACCTACTGAAAAGTTAATGAATAATTTATCTTTAAAAATATTTTCTCCCCTTGCTCAGTGTTCTCCTCGATGCATCCCATTGTTATGTTGATTTCTTTTCTCTGACTGAGGCAGCATCTGGCTTTTTATTACACTTACGACCAGTTCGCATCCCTATGTGCAAAGCTCTTCCTCTATTTGTGGGTTGATTTGTTTCCTTAATGTCACTGAACACTCGTTTTATACTTGTCACTTGCCAATATCATTGTGTCCCACAAGCGTTCTTTTCAAGGTATCAAGTGATTAAAATCATTTGCGTATATTTCCTAAAAACATGTGTGAACATATATTTTGGGAAGTCTTGTAAACTTAGTGCTATTCTTTTTTCATTTAGTTTTCCCATGTATTGAAAGGAATAGGGCCATGAACACTTCTTATGGAGTATTGCTGGAGATATACATTTATATACAGTTGTTATAACACCATTGATGTGTTGTTGCCTTCCACTAACAGAACCTGGCAAGATCATGGTCATGGTCGGGGTGGTTGATGGTCCTCAGTGTTCCTGTGCAGTGTAGAAGGTGAGTTTGGGATGAGAGAGACCTCCTCACTTTCTCAGCTTTCTTTCTCACCTAGATTTTGTAAGGCTAGCACTTGGAAGATTGTCCCATACCCAGATCTTCTAAGTTTTGATGCTGAACTTGCATGAGTTGAAGGTGAAATGAGGGTTACATGGGTTACTCAGCATTCAGGTAGAAGTGAAGAGAGGAGGACTGGGTCAATTCCATTTGAAAACGTGCCTCTCAGCAGCCTGCACCATCCTCCAGCTACACTGAGTAATGACTGTGCTTTGAGATGTATCAGAGGCTGTAAATAAATCAATTTTTGGTGTCTTGCAGACCTGTCATTCTGTGTCAGAATGAAAATCTGTTAAGTTTCTTCATTTTAAATATGATGAAATTGCAGCTTCACAAAGTTACATGGTTTACTTGAGGTCACACAGTAATGAGTTTTGAGCACTGCCATTAAGAACAGTTACAATAATTAATCAGAAATTGTTTATAGAATCCACATAATTCAGTAGATTCACATAATTGTTCCATAATTATTCACCGACCAATTTGTACTAGGCATTTTGTTCAAAAGTGCACATGTAGCTGGATATAATATTTTTATCATAATCCTTAAAGCAATGTTATCATCTATAAGAAACAGGTAAAAAAAACTGAAGAAGAGGGATAGCCAATCATATATTTGACCATATTTCCATTTTTTTCCTGTGGTTCAGG